CTAGATGCAACCATGAGTTGCCGGTGTGGCCACTGAGTCATACAGTAAATCTTCGCTAGCTGTGCTCACTCACAGTGCGTCCGAAAGAAAGAAAAAATGCGGCAGATGTGGCAGCCAGCATTACAAAATCAATATAAGACGGAGGACATGCAAAGCAAGATGACGACATGGCTGATGCAAGTGGGGCTGCGAGATGTACGCAGCAACCGCATATGGGAGATTATGGGAGATTCTCTCCGTGTTGAAGGGCAACGCGACGCTGAAGTTGATCAGAGGAGCCATTCGAGAAGAGCGCATTCAGCAAACTCCGCTCGCACAAGCGCTTGCGCAGCAGCTGACGACGTAATTCGTAAGCAATTGAGAGGCTGGTGACAGATTAGCAAGGTGCATCTCGAGCATCACAGGCATGGGCAGCGGTGCGCTGCCACCCTCGCAAGCAGTCGGCCGGCTCCTTGCGGTGCTGTTTTCAGAGGCCGGGCCGCATTCTGTGCGGGCCTTGACGGTCCGGCCTACCGACGTAACCGTCCACCCGTCCCACTTTCGTGTGCTCCTGCGTCGGCTCCGGCTCCCCCTCCCGCTTGGCCGACTCACCCACTCTTGTCGAGGGATCGCCCGTGCCGCTAGGTGTGCATGCCTCCCGCCCGGGTCCGCTTAGCCGGGCTGACGCAAGGCCTGCCATGACACCAGAGCTATTGGCTGGGCCACGGCGCCCGGCGCACCGTGCTTTGGTGAGGCCCCGTTGCCCGGACCACTGAGGCCTTGAAGAGCGACGCTGTGCGTGCTGCAGCTAGGCGCAAGCATCCTCGCCCCACCTGCCACAGTCGCTGAGTTGTACCGTCGACTTGAACACCACTTGTGGCATCAAGCACGCCTCCGCCTCGAGGCTGCTAAGACAAAGGTTTGGAACTCCGCTGCATTATCCCACCTGGTGTGCTCGCCCTTGCCCCGGACTCCCCGATATGGGTTGGTGGCGCAAAACCCCTTTGGCAGAGCGGGGTGTTGTTGCCCTTGGCGTTCCTCTTGGCGCTCCGACGTTCGTCGAAGCCCACCTGCTCCTGGCCCGCCAGCGTGGCCTCCTCGACAACCTCCCCGCACTCCATGACTCCCAAGTTGCATGGCTGCCTTTGTTTGCCGATGAGGGGTCGCAACTGCCTGAACATGCTCAAGCACGCGCGCAGTTAGTATTGTGGCACGGTGGCCTCGGCTTGCGCAGTGTGACGCGGCTACTGGGCTTCGTGGGCTGACGCATTGCGAGCTATAGAAGGGCAAGTGGCTCAAGCTTGTCAAACTCAAGCTCAAGTCAGACTCGAGTTGGGCACAAGTCCCTGTAACCCAGATGGTGTTGTTTGAGCTGGGCTGGAATGCTCAGTCTGCTGACTGTTGGTACGACCTGCATGGGGTCCCTTGCGAGTTGGACTACTCCGACAGTGCTCTGCCTGTTGTGGTTGCTGAGCGGGTGCTTGACTCTGTTGAGACTTTCCTTTGGTCCAAAGCTGGTTCGCACCAAGCTTCAGAAGGTCTGGACAACCGGAGGCCAGACCTCACAGTTGCCCGCAAGCGCAGGGCTTGGCTTCAGAAACACCAGCCGCACCGTGTTGCTTTCCATGACATGGTTTTGCAAGGTGCCCATTTTACGCAAGTTGATCTCTTACACCAGGAGTGCGCTTGCCCGGCGTGTGGTGAAGTAGCTGACACTTTGCGCCATCGGTTGTGGGAATGCCCTAAGGTTGGGCTGCCTGTTCCCCAGGACTGGTTCCAAGACATCTACAACCCGGTGCAAAGCTGCTTTTGGCTCCGTGGGTTGGTGCCTTCTCACTGGGCGGTCAAGGTTGCTGCCGATGAAGAAGATCTGGTTGCACAGGGCTTGTTTGCCCAAACTTGGCCGATAAGTCTTCCTGTCGGTGCGTGCATTTGCTTGGATGGTGATGGCGGGCCTGGCCAAAGCACCACTGACCCTCGTATCAGGCGTTGTGCTTGGTCAGTTGTTGTGGTTGCTGCTACTGACGCTGGTGCGTTCCAAATCTTGGGCTCTCTTGTTGGGAACCTTGTCGGTGCAAAACAGTCTGTGCCAAGAGCTGAGTTGACAGCTCTTTTCAAAGCCTTGCAGGCGACTTCTGATGACCTGCAGTTGTGCACTGACGCTGCTTACGTTCAGAAAACTTTCAAAAAATGCAGGCAACCTTCGCACTTCCCGAAGTGTCACTGGGACTTGTGGTCGCTTGTCAAGCTTGCTCAGAGGAGTCGTTGTCTGACGTTGCACAAGATCAAGTCGCACCTGTCTGAGTCTGCTTTCCAAGCCCAGTACGACCGTGAGCTCTGGTGGATGTGGGCAGGCAATGTCAGGGCTGATGCACTTGCTAGTGACCGTGCAGCGGCCCTTTTCGACAGTAATGTTGTTGCTGCTCAAAATTGGCTTGATGCTCGTACTTGGAAAGTCCAAGAGAGACTTCTTGGTGGATTACACGTCCTGCATTTGCTCCCCGCAAAACCCTAGGATGCAAATCGGCCACCAAGGCGCAGTGGTTTGACAAGTTGCGAACGCTGCCTTTGGCTTCCCCTCACAGTTGGAAAGTGCACAAGAAAGGCTTGGTTTGTGAATTGCGGGCTCAAACTTGCTCCTTATCAGACGTGGGAAGCTCTCAGGCGTCTTGCGGCTAGCGCCTGTGACGGTTTGAGGTATGCTCAGGCTACTTCTGTTGTGTACTCGAGATGCAAGACTCTCACAAAAACAGAACTATGGTTTGGCTGTTGAAGCCAGAACCATGGTGTCTGCAAGCTTACCTTCCACGTCAACAGACGTGTCGGAGAGTCTGGCTAAAGCTTCCAGGTCAACGTGCGCCACTCCAAGCGCCACAACTTCAAAACAACGCGTAAAGAAAGCCGGTAAAGCAGCAGCAGCAGCAGCAAAAGTTCTGAAAAAAACATACACACAAAAAATATGTAAAACATCCTGCCACAAGAGCACATGTATAACACAACGATTCGTTCGAACCTCAAGCCCTCAAAGACAACCCACGGAGTCCATGGAACAGTTTGTGCTCAGAAGAAGAGCATGGCAGCAGGCATGACCAACCTCAAGGCAGAGCTCGGTGTATCTGGAAGTAGCACAACGGAATTTTCTAAGACCATAAAGCATTGACTTTGAAGGGAGATGTTGGCTCCAGAAGTCACCTAAAGACGGCGTAGAAGTGGCAAAAAGCTGATTCTGCTTAGAGTTTGTGCCGCAAACTTTCCATCGGGGCATTTGACCGTGTACAGAAAGGCACTGAGCGCAGACGTGTGGAGGGGAGCATATCCAATCGAGGTGACCAGTCAAGGTCTGTGCTCAGAGACTGTTTCAGTGTCAAACAATCAGAAATCAAGAAGTCTTGTTTGCAGCGTGCATGGGCCGGCACAAGCAAGAAGCCCAGAAAATGCCATGACAGCCTAAGCCTAAGTGCTTCTCACACTCACGGTTCAACAAATGGCTTTTCGCTTTGTTGCGATTTCTGTTTTTTAATTTTGCCACGTTTTTGGCCAACGTGCTGGAAGAAGTTCAGAACCCACGTTCAAACATGGTTCCAAAAATCCTGCTTTTTCAATTTATTTGCATTCTGTGTAAATTCTTTGTTTTGTTGGCGGCAACATGCAGAAATGATGGATTTGTGCAACATATTTGGCTGTTTCTGCGTTTCGCTTGCTTTTTTAAGCGATTTGACAGTTGCTTTATCTGGAATACATCAACGCTTTTCACCGAAGATGTTGAGCTCTCAGCTTGTAGAGTGAAGAATCGAGCAGACCCAAGTTAGAATTCCAGGGAGTATCGTCTACCATGCCACAGAATGTGTAGCATGCAGAATTGGCGCTTTGGAGGCAAAGAAAAACGAAAACAAGAACAAAACCAAAAAATAAAAACAAAACAAGAAAACCCAAAAAACAAAGTTTCGAGACTTTGGCCTTGTCAATATGTTTCTGAAAGTTTCCTTTTTGTTTGTTTCTGAAAAAGAAAACCAGTTTGATTTTGCCCTTAGTCATCACGGGCACGCTTCCAGAGTTCTGGCTTCAGAGCTCGATTACATTTTGATGCTTCATGGACATGTTGTTCGCCACCGTTTTGAATTTTTAGGTATACAGACATCTAGGAATGTTTCTTGAGGTACAGAGAAGAACCTGATGCTCCTCCGAACTCAGCTCGGTCTTCGTTTGGAATTTGCGAACTTTCCACTGGGTTTCACTGTGCACGCTGCAAGGACCCATGTTCAAACCTTCATTTATTGCTTTACTAGCAGGCGTACGCACTTTCGAATGCTTTCAAAGATGTAGGTTTTAGTCGTACTATTGATCACTCAGTGAGAGATTGTAAGCTAGGTTTCTTAGTGCTAAGTCGCCTTGTTTCTGTTTTGGGTTGGGTTATTACACAAAACTAATAAGAAAAAAATGTGGTCCTTTTTTCTACTAGGGTATCTAGAAGGGAAAATGCGCCATTGGCTCAAAAGTCAGCGAAATCCCAGCCAGCGAAATTCTCGTGATGCTTCCACGTCCATCAGCTCTTGTCATCTTGACGTGCCTTCCGCACTTGGATGAACGACACCGAGTTCAAAGACACTGATTTAGAGATGCCGACCGGCGGTTGGAATTCCCGGAATATCCCGGAATGATTCCCGATTTCCGAGTTGTGCACACACAAACATCCTGGCGTCTGAGTTCCACTTCAGCAAATTCCACGTGGTGAAGATAACGGATCCGATTACTGGGCTGCATCGTGCGGCGACTCCAATGCAAATTACAATCGAACCGCGGTGTGGAATGGCCCGGCAGGGTTCTTTTTTCCTTGCGAGACGTTGCAGGATGAGAAGGGGAGGATGGATGTTTCATGGATCGCTTGTGGTGCAATCAGGCAACCGTGCCCAAACCGCTCCAAACACAACTTGGGCAGAGCTATGAAAAGGATTGTACACAAAAGTTGTGCAAGAAGGCGTTGGATGGTTCATGGTACGGGAAATGGAGAGAGTACAAGGGCAAAACGTTACGATGGCCTCCAGAGTCCACCAAATGGGGTGTCAGTGGATGGAAGACGATGGCCAAGAAGCTTTGCGTAGAGAAGGCCGGTCTTTTTGAAGTGACCAAGACGGAGGAACACCATGTTCCATACTTCGACAAATCTCTCTGCAAGTCCTAGGTGCAAACCGTGACTGAGTGCAGGAGGTCACATGAGCTGATTATGCGAGAGCCCAGCGAAAAATGTTTACTTCCTTTGTTTGATCTTGAATTTGTAGTGGTCGGAGCTCACGTCTCCATGGCGCCCAGCATTTGATGTGCGTGGCTGTTGTTCGCTTTTGTGGCCCCTCCATGTGGTTTTGGATGCTCAGCCTGAGCTTCTCAGCATCTTTTGGGCACAAATTCCAGGCCAGAACAAAAAGTTAGGACAGTGGTTATAAGGCTAGGATGTGCAGGTTTTTTGAGTCAAACAGTTAAGTACATCAACACGGGTGCATTAATGCGGGACCTACATGTGCAGGGAAGTCGTGATATGTCGCAATAATGCAGCGGAGGCGCAGGAGCTTTGTGGGGCAATGCATGCGTTCAGATCAGTTGTTGCAGATTGTCAGTTGCATTGTTGTGGCTTTGCTTGAAAGCAGGATGCTGTTGTCGTTACCGCTTCATGCGAGGACTGCTCTCACCCTGTAGCATGCCAATGTGAAGGTTCATTGCATTCTGACAGGAGTCTTGAAGGGGAGTCGTCTTCGGCAATCGGCCCCAGAATTGTTTTGGGCTGACGGATTCTCTAACGTGCGGGATATGAGTTGAAGCTTCGGGCAAAGGCCGATGGCATGAGACAAGCCGAGTTGGATTCCGATGAGCAGGCACGTTTTCTTGTTTCTGCACCGAACGTTTGCTTCGAGTTTTGCATTGTTGCGCATGTATCCAGGGATCAGCACGGCTCACCGCATCGAGACAAGTTTCCAGGTACGCCAGCATGCAGTCTCGTTGGCTTTCCATGGCAGCGGTTAGGCAATGACCTGGAGGCTGTAGCACTTCGTCGACTTCATCGCGAGGTCGGCATGATCATGGACACAAGCTGGGCCGTTTCTCGCAGGCCAGCTGCTTCTGTTTCTGCCAGGGTGATGGAGGGGCGAGCATTACAGCTTGGCGGGCTGCGGAATTTACGCGGTGGAGCTGCTCAGCGAGAGCTTTCCCAGCGGGTTGCAGTCTCAATAATGCGTCGTCCAAGGGCAAGGATGTGCTGCGAAGTGGCATAGTTGTTTCTAGCATCCTGTCCGTAGAACGGGAAGAATGGCAGTAATTAACTGAGGTTAAACGACAACTTGCGCAATGCCAGGCCACTCCGAGCTGAGGGAGGACTGGTTCATTTGACCGGTTTTAGCGGGCAAGGCTTTTGCATTGTCCGTTCGGGAACAGAGTCGGCTGGCTAAAACAGAGTCAAGAAGCACTTAAGTTATTTCCTGCAGTTGCAATTGGACCTGGATGCAGGTTGGGCAGATTTTGAAGGTTGCCGACCACTGTGCCGAACACATGACCCTTGATGGGGCCGTGGCTGTGCGGGCCATTCCAAGCTGGATGCAGGATCATATTTCGGCAGGTAGCCACAGCATCCAGGACTTCGCAGAATGCAAGCTGCATGTTGCTGGCAGCACGACAACATGTGCAAAATCAACTCCGCACACGAAAGCGCCGATCCTTCATAGCATGGTTGACGCCAAGGCTCTTCAGACGCTGGCGCGAGACCCCGAGTTTAAGGCGAATGGCAAGGACGATGATTGCACTTAGCTTCCCGCTGTTGGCTGCCGCAATGCTGGAACTTGCAGGACCGGAGGGTCAGCAGCATTCTGGACATCTACCGGAAGTCCCTAGTGCATAGGACTCGGATATTGCAAGAGCATTCCTCGGTCTTGCTGCTGTTGCTGCCGTTCACAGAGACTGCCTGACAGTCTCGAGGCCGGGTACGCGTTTGGAAATGAGGCAGACCTGCCCTGAGCGAGTGCCTTCAGCTTGAGCTTGAGTTTCAGCGCCTCGTGCGCTGACATCATGGTATTTCCAGAGCAGTGTTGACACCTGCGGAGCGGTAGAGCGTTCTTGAGCTTCAACTGATGGCCAAGACTCACGACTTCCTGCTGGGCATTTGCGAGGCTTCAGGTGTCATGCACTCGATCCCAGCATCTACTTTCTCATTGTGTGTTCAGTTGCTACAGCTACGAGGTACGATGGTCCTCTCCTTGCCGCGTTGCAAGATGCTGTGGTCGAGAAAGCGCAGGACATGTCGTCACAGGACTGCGCAGTACGGCAGCAGTGCAGTAGAACCTGTTACTCGTATACAGATATGACGCTGTCTAATGCCATAACGCTGTCTGCTGCATAACTGCTGATGGATTTGCATTGCTCGCGGTTGCACTGTGGCTCGAGATAGCTGACCATTAGCCCATTGGCGTAGAAGTTTTGCAGGCAAACTCAGTTTGTGCTTCGTAGCCAGGATGAAGACTGAGATTGCAGCTTTCTGCGCAATTGGTGCTGGTGCTTACGCATCTGGAGCACTGCAAAGTGCCTTCGTGCCAGCTGCAGGAAAGCAAGACAACCCAGGGCACCTCAGGGCATCTCACGTCTCAAGCCAGGTGCCATCCACAGCTTCAAGCTCCTCCAGTGTTGTCTTGGCCTCTGCTGCCGCCGGCATGGCGGTGGCTGTGGGTTCGGGGAAGGGGGGCCGCCGTGTCCGCACACAACAGAAGGCCCGTGGTGGCTTCGACACCGTGAAGTCAGAGGAAGTCTTCACTGAGGCAAAGACGCTCATGCCGGGTGGAGTGTCCAGCCCTGTTCGCGCCTTCAAGTCAGTTGGAGGCAACCCAGTTGTCTTTGACCGTGTGAAAGGCGCGAATGCCTGGGATGTTGACGGAAATGAGTACGTTGACTATGTCGGAACTTGGGGCCCTGCCATCATCGGACACGCAGATGACACTGTTCTGAAGGCACTAAACGAACAGATGCAGAAGGGCACCTCCTTCGGTGCACCCTGTGCTCTCGAGAACGAGCTGGCTAAGATGGTGATCGATGCTGTGCCCTCTGTAGAGATGGTGCGCTTCACCAACAGCGGCACGGAGGCTTGCATGGGAATGCTCCGCCTTGTCCGAGCCTTCACGAAAAGGGATGTGGTCATCAAGTTCGAGGGTTGCTACCATGGCCATGGCGATGCCTTTTTGGTGCAAGCCGGCTCTGGTGTCGCTACGCTTGGACTACCGGACTCTCCGGGCGTTCCCAAGGGTGCAACCACCAGCACCCTGTGTGCGCAGTACAACAACTTGGAATCCGTCGAGGAGCTCCTGAAGGAAAATGAGGTGGCGGCTGTCATCTTGGAGCCCGTTGTCGGAAACTCGGGCTTCATCCCACCCACCAAGGAATTCCTTGAAGGCCTCCGAGAACTGACCACTAAGTACGGTGCACTGCTGGTCTTTGACGAAGTCATGACCGGCTTCCGCATTGCCTATGGCGGCGCCCAGGAGCATTTCGGCGTGACTCCAGATGTCACGACGATGGGTGCCTTGCATTCAGCTGTGCGCCATCACAACTTGTAGAGCCTTTCTGGCTGTTCTTTTCGGCATTCCAGCATTCCCTTGAAGTCAGGGTTCCTGGCAGGTAAAGTAATTGGAGGCGGTCTGCCAGTGGGCGCCTACGGCGGCCGCAAGGACATCATGGAGATGGTAGCGCCGGCAGGGCCCATGTACCAGGCCGGAACACTCAGCGGCAACCCTCTTGCCATGACAGCCGGAATCGAGACGCTGAAGAGGTTGAAGGACAGTTGCTCCAAAGCTCCATCTAATCACATGCCAGCTGAGTCTTGTGTGCCTTCGAAGTTTGCTGGAAAGGAGCCTGGCAGTTACGAGTACCTCGATAAGATCACAGGCAAGCTCATCAATGGCAACCTGCCTGCGATGTGCGAAGCTGATTGCAGTAATGCCTTCACAAAGCCGCTGTCTTTTCGCTCGGAAGTGGGTCTAGGAGATGTGCTGTGCCAGTGTTGAGCCAACCATCATCAGATCAACCTTGTCTGTACACTCTCAGACAGCATCCTGCGACGTCCTGTGACACACAGCTGCATGAATCCATGCCTGGAGCAGAATCTGCCTGCAACCTAGGCATTCTAGATGCGGCGCGAGAGAATGGACACGAGGCCTTGGGAATGCGAGACTGGTTGTCCTTAGCAGCGAAATTCCGTCACTTGCCGTGGTTCTGCCAGCTGCTTGTTTTGTCGCGTGAAGGTCTGCGGTGGTCACATCAGCGGCATGTTCGGCTTCTTCTTTTGCGAGGGTCCCGTCACGTGCTTCGCGGATGCCACAAAGAGTGACACCGAGAAGTTTGCTAAGTGGCACAGAATGATGCTGAAGAAGGCGGCTTGCATTTTTAACACTAGGGCATCAATCTCTCGCGGCAGTAGATGAGTTGTCGTCCCCGGTCCCCTGGACAGGGGATTTATTTGGCACCCTCACAGTACGAAGCGGGCTTCACATCGCTTGCCCACACGGAGGAGGACATTGAGTGCCTTGGCAGAACAGCGTTCTCTGCACGCAACCTCGAAGGAAGCGCTCGCAATGTGCCGTGCTGCCAAGGAAAACCATTGCCGCTGCCAAAGAGGTCTTTGCAGAGCTGTAAATTATGCAGCTCAGAGGCCTGTAGTGTTTTTTTGCAATGTCTGGAGGTGGCATGTGCCACTGCACCCAGCTAGGGTCTCAATCCTTTGCTTTCAATTTCTACCGGAGTACTCTTGCGACCCGGCTGTGCAATTCCTGAGAACCCAGATACCGTAGGCCACAGGCATGTCGGCATATCTTATCTAGGTGTTGTGGGTCTCTCGGGGCTGCCTGCTGTTGCAGTGGTCGCAGTGCGAGAGGCCGACATTTAAAGTCCGGCCTCCGAGGCATACGCTTTCGAGAGTGCAGACTCAACCACATCAAACAAAAAGACTTGTTCATGCACCTGAGAGACGAGGACTACGAGTAGGAATGTATCCTGAATGGCGGGTCTCTCGCAGGAGTTGTCTTCAACGGCTTGGGCATTTGCAAGGCAAGCCTGCAGTGGCAAGCCTGCAGTGTTGTACGATGCTGTTGCCGCACTGTGCAGCATAGATTTGCACCAAGTAGTGGGGGCAGCATGTCGATTTCCAAGGGCTAGGCAAAGACTGTCACAAACTTTGTTTCTCAGTCTTCTGTTGCAGAACCCACCCCTGGAAACAGATCAGCAATATTTGTCGCACAAGCGGCTGCCTTGAGTTGCGCATCGCTCAAGGCTTGTCCCCTGGCCAGAAAACTCGACTTTTGAGGATGTGGAAATCATGCCTGCGTCAGTGGGCTCTGGTGTGTTTGGAATCTGCGCCGGACGGATTTTGAGATTACACGGGGGAAGCTGCCGTTGCTTGTCTTCTCTTCCCGGTCCAAAGTTTAGAGAAAGTTCAATGTGCTGTCCATGAAATTTTGTTATGCCAGCTCTTTGCAGATTGATCTCCTGTTTGTCAGTCAGGCATACAAGGCGTCATATTGGGTTACTAAGTCGGTGAAGCTTTCTGAGTGACCCAAGCTGGGAGCAGGTGTCTGACAACTTGCCGCGCAAGTTTTGAATCTTGGCCGTTCGTGTGCTGAGCCGCACCCGTTTTGTAGATTGGATGAAACTCGCCTCCGTTTTCTGAGTTTTTCGCAGTACTGGGGTTGCGAGCTTTCTTTACTATGTTTTCGCCGGCTATTCCCATGAAGCGCAAATGCGTCGAAGAGAAACAACCGCTTTGCCAGAATGCTGTTTCACGAAGGTGAAACCATCACGAGGGCTTCGCACACATGCAGGGGTAGTAGTATCGGCTGTGATGGTTGTGATGGCGAGAGTCCACTCCTGTCGTTTAGGACTTCTGCAAGAGAGCTCTGCACATCTCTGCACATTGTCCTTCAGCACCTTCTCCTGTGCCTCTCGCCCTCGATACACATCGAAGATCCTGTAAGATGACCAACGCCGGCGCAGTACTCCCCTTCTGCTGAGCGTTTCATTAGATGGATAGAAGGGCTTGCTCCAAGCGTTGTTCTGCCCTTTTAACCCTTCCTTTTTGAAGTCGGCAACGTGCATGTCTCCGCTGTTTGTCTGTCTGTGTGTGCCTGCTCCATTCGCGTTGGCGGCTCGGGCCTCTCGGGTTTTTCGGGCCTCTCGGGCGAGCGAGGACGGCCATGGCCATCTTTGGACCAATTTGTGGCTTGGCAGCGACCGCGGATGTAGATCGTCATCTGCAGAAGGTCCCAGCCTGGTGAAGCCCTAACCCCTCACCAGTTCATCGCAGCATTTGCTTCGCGACTGGCAGTGGCGACTGCACCCTCCCACACGATATTTCTTGACCAGCCCATGAATCGCGCCTCGCTTCGCCTGCGCTCGCTGCACTGGTTCTCGGAGGTGCTTGTCTCGGAGCTGCGACACGCAGGGCTTGGGTCGCGTGATGGTCGGGTTTGCTGTCCGTCGCCGCGCAGCTTGTCGTCACATCCCTTCTGGCTCTCCTGCTCGCAAGCGAGTGCCACTTGTGAAGGGCATGGTGTACACTTCCTGTCCTCACCAGAGGTCTTGGGCCGCGTGACCGGTCGGGTTTGGTAGGCCGGCGTCGCGGCGGACAAGGACATGCTCCAAACTCGCCAGCAGCCCAGCCGCTACTTCTACTGCGATGGCGACGGTGTGGGCGGCGAACAAGTGGGATCCCTGATGCCATGTTGCCGGGGATGCACGCTGGGCTGACATGCTGCTCTTCTTGATGATGTACCTCCAAACTCAACCTCCGTCGAGGCGAGGGCCTGTACAGGTTCTTGGATGATGTTTACGTCTGCAAAGCGCATACATCACTCTGCAAGCCGCGCAAGACAGTTGGTTGAAACACCCAAAGACCGAAGCCTGGAAAACAAGCAGTGAGGAGGCAGCTAGCTTGTTGCTGCCCTGAATTTGCGTCCGGCGGCGCTCGAAGCGGCCGTACTCATACTGTGCAATCTTTTGCCAGCTGCGAACTCCAGCAGCGAACATCGGCAAGTGGCATACTGGGCGTGCTCGGCCGACACCGTCGGCACGTTGGAACTGGCACCCAGGCACGCTGGCAGACATCATCCGGTCATTTGCTGACCCGACCTTTGCCAACGCAGCCGACTATACCAGAAACTGAGCATGAAGCACAACTGCTCCGTCTGCACCTTCGCAGCCCTGACGCGCTGATGCTTATATCACCTGCAGCAATCAACAAAATCCGTTGTCCCGGGCGGGCGGATAACAGAGGTGGTACATGTGGCCCATTCCAACCCGCACAATCCAATGCTCGCGAAGGAGAAACAGTTGTCAGTATTGCAGCGGATGAAGGTCGCTAAAGTTTTCTTTCCAACGAAGCTTTAATGCCAAGGCGATCCGCTGTCCAAGTGCTGAGGGTGGGGTGGGGGCTGACTTTGCCAGGGAGTCGATCAGCAAGAGCAGGTTGGCTGCCATAGATTCGAACGCACAAGGGCGGGGCAGAATCTAGTTTAAGGACTGTTGCAAACTGGTGAGCAGCCGTTGCAATCGGGGCATCCATCGATCCTGTGCGGCGGGCGGGATGTTGGGTAGCGCCACTGCTTGTTCTGACTCCGGCCAATCCTGTGCCAGAAATACAAGCCATAGGCGACCAAATCGGTGCGGTGTGAATCGTGGACAAGGATGTACATTAATGTCATTACTGTTCAGCGTCTACTTGTTCTCCGGCCTCGCGACATGCGCCATCAACAGCATGCTCAAGCGGAAGGGAGAACGCTAGGCGACAGGATGTGGCACAAACCCCTAGTTGGTCCAAGCGTGTGCGCGATGTGCGAGGCATGGGGAGCCGGAGGTCGAAGGCGGGGTTGTAGCCGGTAACCGTCAACCTCGCACCGACAAGGCGCCGCCGGGTTTGATCGTTTCATCAGCGCAGTTCGTAGTCCCCGCACCAGCAAAGATTTGGAGGGCATGCAAAGAGACCTCTGGCACAATCGGGGCAAAATCGGCCAAGGCGCGACGCGGCTATGCCAGTGCCATGCCGGATACTTGTAGGACGTGTTTTGTTGATAGTTCGCCCTGTCCGAAAGAGGCTGATCACAAAGCTCTGAAAGGAGGCACTAATGCCAAGCACCGCCAGTCTCGTAAGACTTCGGTCGAAGAGGCTTCCTCTTTTTCACGTATGCCAGCGCGTCACCGACATCCATGGCTTCACAAGCCTACATGGCAAAAGGACGTCCTTGACGGACAGAAATGCAGCAGCACATGCGGCTTCAGTATCTCGCAGGCAACTGTGCATGAAGAGGCTCGAATGCACAAGAGCCTGAGGCATCAAATTGACACAATGTCTATTGGCGAAGAGTGCTGAAGCTGCCTGCGTTTCTTTGCAGATAAAAAATCTTTCATCAGAAAAGAAAATCCACACATGTTCCTGGAACACGAGGTGCAAGGATGCAGCAACTTGCGGTTTCGTGGGAGCATCGGCCAGCTGAGCTTCACTGTTGACCCAGCGTGTCAACGTGTGTCCGCGCTCCAGCCTTTCCAGGACAGACAGCATCTCCACCGTTCTGTATTTGTCACGGAGTCCCAGCCTTTCCGTTGCGGTCCAGCTCGCCGTTGCGGGCACAGCCCTTGGGCCGCGCGTGGCCGGCTGCTCCGCTGCCAGGGCCGAGCGATGGCTTTGCACTGGACCGCGTGCTCGACCTTACCAGCCACGGAGGGCCCAGCCGCTTGCCTCTGCGGCCCCACCTCTGCGGCCCTAAGCCGGGACCGCACACTGGCGCAGTAGTAAGACCAGCGTAGCTGTGACACTTTCCTGCAGGCGGAGAAGACCTAAAAAAGAAAATTCACGAGCCCGAGAGGGCCATGCTTGATGGTATGTGGTCCCTGCATTCTCGGCTCGCTCCTTCCCCAAGCGGACCCAGTGGAGCTGGGCTCCGCCTGTCCGAAACAGGCTGGTCACAGAGCTCTGAAAAGAAGCACTAGGGCCAAGCCCTGCAAGTCTCGCATGGGGAGGCTCGAATGCACCAGAGCCTGAGGCATGAAATTGACAACGGACGCCTACTGCATCTTTCTGCGAGCCGGTGGCAGCACACTATGGCGACCCTGGTGGTGGGCATGGCAGCAAAGCAGTTACGATGCGGACCATGCGCAAATGTGCTTAAAGTATCCCAGAGTTGTCAAGTCGACGACGGTCCTCGGACGCCATGGTGTGTGTTAGCCACGGCTGCGCTTCCTTCCCCGCCGGCCCCATATAATTTCGCGTGCCAGAGCCATTCTGGCTCAAGCCAAGGCTCAAACAAAACAAAGCAAGGGGGCCCGTTGACGTAGTTTTCTGTGGCTTAGATTCGATGACGGAGATGAGTACTCCACCGCCGCGTGTGAACAAACGTCGAACTGTGTCGCCGCTACATGAATTAGATGGCACAGAACCAGCTCCTGCGCTCGAGTGCCACCGCTGCATATGTCACCCGCTGGTCTGCCTTGCTTTCTTTCGCAGCCGCCCGTGCTCTCGCAGCGGGTCTCCTTTGACTCCTCCTCGCGCACGCTGCCGACGTTGATGGGGACCCCTTGGACTTGAGTGACCTTCTCGGAGCTGCGCACGGGGCACTTCCCCCCTCTCTCCCAAGCCGCCTGCCTCCGTGCGGCTGAGTGGTCCTGGACTTCATGGACTTTTCGGCCGCCGCAGTTTGTGCACTGGGACCGCGTACAGGATTTCTTCGAGAAAAAAAAGGCGATGACAATAGTGTGAGCCCAACACATTCAACACCAGAGTTGGAGAGTGAAAGCAGCCAAAGGTCGCTTGATAGCATTGCCCGAGTGGTGAGAGCAAAGATTCAGGCAGCCGTAGTTCTTTCGAATCCCGTCTTGGCAATCTCCAATCCTGTGTTGATGGTCGGTTGTCCCAGGTGAAGGTATGATCAAAGCTCATGACTTCAAAATCGGCAAGGTTCAAAGAGCACTCGACAAATTTTTCGTGAATGGTAGGACAATGGACGAAGCCAGCGCTACCCAAGTAGCCCAGATTCAAAGCCAGCTGACCGACTTGGTGCAAG